ACAGAATCAGTTCAGGATTGTGACCGTAGACATTCGCGGAGACTTGATCGAAGCCAGTCACAGTTTTCGAACATTCAGAGCAACTTATGTATCACGACCGCAAAACGTCCGGTCATCGACAGCCGCGGATTTGCAACTTACTGTCTAAAGGCTAGTTGGCTTAGTATGGGTAAAGAGCAAGAGTTATACTCCTTCAGCAGGAGACAACTCGTTTCCCACATAATCTGTGCCAACAGAGCTGAGGTTATAATAACACAAAGACCGTCGTCCCCGATGGCTGTTTTAAAGCGCAAGTACCCCCAACTAATTCCCAACGTTCCGGGAGAACGCCGAGACGGTTTTTTGATCACCAGCCATTGACTAATCTAAATAGAAAATAACAAATCATCATATCAAGGACAGTTTCGTTTGACAAAGGTGGACCGGAGTGGGAAAAAGTAGCCTTGCATAGTATAAAACCAGTGTATTAGTGCGTCTACTTCGCAATACAATAACGCCACGCTGTATAGAACCGAAGTGTACTTTCCTACTCAGAGCGGGGATGACGTCAAATAACACAAACATGTATCGCTAAAAAGCGACCAATTAGCGCATCTGTCATTTAGAGGGTGAAAAAGCTTTGCGTAAAAGGAATGCCTGCACTAGCACATATAAGTGAAATATCGGTAAAATGCGCTAAGTTCAAGAGTCGGGTTAGATTGAATAAATGTTGTCCATTACTGGATGGAAGCAGCAAGAAGATTCGTTTCTGTGTGGCTGCGTTTACAATCACTCAGAGACAATGGGCTGTTATGTTGGAGAGTATTCGCGATATTTTATATCGGCAAAGTGTTTGTCCAGGAATTTCTTGAATTCCGACAGCGACTTCGCCTCGACTACCTGAGGCGACAAGTTGCTCCATACATTCACCACTCTCCTTTTGAAACAGAGTTGGTAGGCAACGCGCTTCAAATCCGATGCTACAAGCTTGTACCGGTGCCCTCGTGTACTGCTTGATGTGCGCACACAGACAAGCGGCCTCAACATTGGGTAATCAACAAGAAATAATGTCCGGTGCATGATGAGGTAAACTCGCATAGTCTAAAGTGAGGACGAGTCTGGCGGGCACATGCTGAACCCACTCAATCATTCGCATCTCGCTCCGGCTGATATGACAGTATAAGAGTGAACCGTACTCTAGCATTGGTGGTATGATTGAGACGAATAGGCGAGTGACAGTTTCTTTGGACCAAGTGCAGAAGCTAACGCTTGAGTGCCTAAAGTATACGAAGTCCGTCTTGGTAAGGCTGTTCGTTTTGTCCACGGACTTTAAGTTACAGCGTGAGAACACACCGAGCTCTTTCGCGAAAACCGTGGGATGCAACGTTTGACCGGTCACAGTGTAGGTTCGGCCGTGTCCATCCCTACCCAGACTCATAAATAGCGACCTGGACCGGTGTTATCGGAAAGTTGACATCTGCATACCACATGGAGAAGCGATCAAGGTCTCACTGAATTCGGTCAGTCATCAGAAGCACTGATTACTCTCCTCCAAGTCATCTGCAAACAGCGCACAAGGCGAACGGAGAAGCTGAGGCACATCGTTTTATTGATCAGGAACAAAATGGGCCGCAGTACAGTGCCTTGGGGCACGACACTGCTCGAGGGGTACCAGTCGGTCAGATAGTTGTCGACCTGGACCCTCCAATTTCGAGCAGTAAAGATATTCCTGACTCATTGGCGCAGCGAGCCACTAAACCCGCACAGTCACAGTCTGCGGAGAAGGACCTTGTCAAACGCTTTACTAAAGTCAATGTAAATGACCTCGACCGGCTTCTCCTGGTTCAGCGCTTGCAAACGTTCGTGCCTCGTCACGAGCAAATTGGTGAGGCAAGAGTAACCTCTCAGGAAACCATGCTGTGCGGGTGTCAAGAGCCCTTTCAACTCGAGACGCAGTAGAACATCCTTCTCTACGTCTCAAGTGTTTTAGCAAAAACGGCGGTCAGGCAGATCGGTCGGTAGTTGCCCACTTTATTCGGATCACTGCTTTTCGGTATTGAATTTAAGATTGATCATTTTCAGTCGCTCGGTACTAAATCTGGACAGCGGCCAGCTCAGTCACGGAAGGCGAGATGATGGCCGATAATGTTTCCATTGGGCCCGTCCCGGTAACCGAAATGATTGCACGTTTGCTCTGTAATCCGTAGGCCACCGGTTCGAATCTGCGCGTAGGTGCGGACATCGTGATACACCCAGCCCATACGCGACCGGTAGTGGTTGCACGGCAGCGCGGCGTCGGCACGGTGTGCCGGTAAACTGTTGATGCCTTCTCTTCGTATGGAAATAGTCAAACGATGCGGTCATTATTCGTTGTGAATATACGAAGCGAATGGTCACATCTAACAACAGAGGTCAGTATCGCCTACATCGACGTATTTGTCGAAGACAGGCACATCATATGACCTCCGCCCGTTACAAAAGCTGAGGCTTCCTATAACTGATCGCATGTCGGGTACGCGTCACTGGTGTTTAGATGACATGTCAATATCAGCAGCCAAAGTAGAATTTGAGAGAACGAAGAAACCATGGAAACCCATAGAACTGCAGGAAAGACTAGCAAAAACATGAAACTACCTAATCGTGCATCGAACAAAGCAATAGTTTATAACTGCAGATACTGTGTTGTATGAACGCTTGGAATTAACCCCCCCCCCCCAAAGTTTCGTACAGTGCGATCCTAACACAATTTAGACTGGAGAGGAATATGTGGTGACAAAACGGGAAACGGCGAACGTGGCGATTAGTTGCAGCCAAAATTCTCAAATAGTTGAACTGATGCGCGTGAGTTAACCGCGGCGGCCACTGCTGACTCGATCACACAGTGCGAAAGAAAATGGAGGAGAACAAACTAGAGTGATTGTGAAAGCAGCAGGCCAGGAAGATTGCCTTCGCACCGGCATATGTATTAGAAAACATATCTACACTTTACCCACAAAGTAGCGAAAATTTAAGAGTAAGCAGAATCACACGTGGAAAGCGTAGAGAAATGAAAGGAACGTTTACGACATATGTACCACAGGTGTGTAAAAAATTCTGTAGGCCAGTAGTATAACCACAGCCACATCATCTACTTCGTCGTGGAGTTGTGTTCGAGTCTGTAAAACATTCCATGATATCAACAGTAGAATACTAGGCCAGTCCACACGGCAAGAAAAGTATCATCATATTCGTCCTTTGGACCGATGATCATTGAGACTTTTTCTCATCCGCCACATCCTTTGGATGCCGTAGTCTGCGAAACATCCGAGACTAGCCTGAACGCGCTTAATGGTCGTCTCGTGGTAAAACCAATAATCGTGGTCTCACTTTCCGAAGGTGGGCGAGCGGTTAAGTGACCTGCAGTGGCTTTGTTAACTGAGCCAAATAACATGGCGATTACTGAGCACACGATGCACAGTGTATTAAAAGGCATGCTGAAGTCCGGAGTTGGCATGCTGATCAGTATAACGGCGCTGTGAACGCGGAAAAATCCGTCACCTGGGCGGAACGATGTGTCTTTGGAAGAATCGTTGCTGTAATTGACAGAAAAAGTAGACATGTTATTGACAAACGCCAAAATGCCATTGAATACCGTTCGAGAATACTGTTTTTTAGCGGACTAGATGAAAAGCAGCCAAATCTAGCGCTACTCCAAGCAACCATTGGCTGGAAAATGTGCGGAGATGCCATTGAGGCTGTCAGTGATACAAAGTGATTCGGTGTTCAAAATGTTATGCTAAATGCCCGCGTGCTTTGTATTTGGGAACTCAACTTCTTGACCGAATTGCACCTGAACCGGAAGTCCAGTACACTACACGTTGAAGGCTCAGCGCGATGAGCCCCGATCTGACCTACAGGTAGGTTGCAACATGGATACTGAGATAAAATGTGAGAGATAGAAAAGCTCCAAGGAGGTACCGTATTGCTAGAATATGTACCCGGAAAATGCCACCCACAAGAATACATCTATCTCGAAGCTCCCCTACTTCTACCACACCTATGATGAACCCCAGGGAGTCAGAGGGATACGACACTGCGTCTATCGATAGTGCAAAATCAAATCACGTTAAGGATTTCTATTCCCTAACCACAAAACAAGTAGGATAGCCAATAACTCTTGATCATGTAGTAGTGTTCGCCGAGCGCGGTGATCTGTTTGTCGACGTCTCGATACGAATCGAGATGATAGCTTCATTGTGTAGTAGTAGCAGCGGCTTTGCTGGTACGCTAGGAGCTTGGAACAAATTCGGGGGTGGTGATCCACCACTTCGATTGGTGATGAAACGTCTGTAAGCAAACTGTCAAGCTCGGCGAACAAGTTAATATTTCAACATCCAACCCGAATCATCAGTATTCCCATGTACTGAAAACTCCGGATAATCCCCTACAACGGTTTACTGTGTATGTCGTATATATTGAGAAGGTAAACAAGTGTAGCACTATAAAGTGCAATTGCTTACCGGACTTAGCGTTTAGTCTCATTGTGTATTACCGTCTGCCATTTACATACGATTCAAGGAATGGCTAGGTTGAATACAGAGGCAACCACTATCGGTAACCAGACCAGACTCGCAGCAAATATCGAGTTGCGCTGGTGACGCTCATTTCCAAGTTCTTCTAAGTGGAATGCCGGAGAGCGTCAGACGAGTTTTGATATCCATCGATTCACCAATGACGTTACGCATTGATTGGCTCTGTAAACAACTTAGCGCTTAGTGATGATGTTCGCGCTCCCCGAGTTTCGGTATCCTGAGTCGATGGTTTAAGAATCTTAAAGTGTATCGTTACACATAGTACAAATAAGGTCAGAAAAATAGCCTTGTTCTGAGTGGATAGCAAGGTTACATGTTCCACTAAGGTACGAAGCTCAACGAAAACAGAGTGGCAAGAATATAATAGTTACCGTCAGCGCCTAAACATGCACCACCCGGCAGCAACGTCAAATTACCAGATATGGCCTGCATCTATGGTTGAACTCCACCCGGGTAACCAGAAATGCTGATGTGGCAGTTGAAAAAAATTAAGTCTCTGAGAACTGCAGCTAGAGCAGATGTACAGCTTGATAGGCCATTTCGGAGTAGATTCTGGCCCAAACGGCAATGACATTTAGCGTATCTAAACGCGCAATACGCAAGGTTTTTACCGTGGTATTCCGGCACGGCACAGTAATTGACTTTGTTAAATGAAAACCCGGCCAGGATCCAGACGGGCAACATTGCCACCAGCTGCAGACAACTTACACATGTCCGAAGATGGTACGTAATTAAACGTAATCGTCATATACAGGACGCAAACACGGCATTGGTTCCCCTACATGCAACGAAGTGGACAAAATCGGGATTGTCTTAACACGCAAATCTACGATACAAGAGGAAAAATTCAGTGGCCGGCGTCCAACCAGACAGAGCGGCCAAATGATGACGCATAGCATCTACGGAAAACGGAACTGAAACCAGTAAGTGTAGCTCCACTGAATGGATTTGTTCAATTGTTCCCCGAAGTTTGCAACCCGTTTAAATGACAAGTGTTAATCTGAAAGATGCGTGGTAAGAGCAGGTGGCGCGGCGTCGTACTTATGGAGATGGGTGTGGTGCATCCGAATCAGGGATAGTATGGAAATCATTCGTTTTCACTTGGCTGACAGTAGTTATGTGCGACGATTTCACAGCTTTCAATAGGCTAGCATATCTGCTGATCTCACTGTCACAAAGCTATAGGGTAAAGTAAATAGATCTATCACAATTACCTGGTAAAATTGTAGTTGACACGATGAATTGGGCTAAACTGTGACATACTGAGGCACTGTTTAGCTGTCTCCCTCAGTTATCCGTATTTCCCTACCAGGTGAAGTAAAACTAACAAAAGATCACGGGGAATTCGCATGGCTGAAATGTCTTATAGCGAGCATAAAACCAGTGTCCCTGTGTGTAATCCGTTAGCAGCTGATACAATCGGTTAGGTGCACAATGGAAAATGATATGAGCAGGGAGACAGGAAGAACAAACCAATCTGACCCGAGTGCCAACAACTGGAGATAACAAGCGAATCCGCGCCCCATACCCCTATCTACTGGGCAGTATAGTACCATGGCGTAAACGACATGCTTGATTTAGCTGGTTGCGGACGACTTCGCGAAGCCTACCATCGAAGTGAGTCAGACCATACCTGAATACACTGAAATGGCAAGTGAACTTTTTCGATCTAGTGAGCTATGTCGGAAATTTCCTCCAGAAATCATCAGAGCCACTTAACAGGCAGACCAAACCAATCTCATAGTACTCTACGCTAAGGGTTAGAAATGGAGTGGCACCCGTTATGTAGTTCCGTCGACTTCTGACCAGATCTTTGAGTCAAAGGCTTCGGTTGAGGACTCAAAAAGTTTTCTTTAGTAGGAATGAGCTCCATAGTGATATTCAGGTTTAAATACTAACATGACAATTTCGCCAAACTGGTTTCGACTTGTGACAGATGCAACCGTGCCATCTGGCTGACTCCGCCTTACTTAAAACGACATCCACATGTTTGTAACCGTACGGTATGCGTCCATGTTTACGACAGCCAAATTCTACACCAGATCCTCTTCGTGTCTCCTATTCCATTTTATTGGGGACATCGCGACGAGACTGGACCATGATGCGGTGCGATGGTTTGCGTGCCTCAATCATCCATTGAGCTATGCTGGGTGCTGCTTTTGCCCCTTCAGAGCTACTCATACTGGATTGGTCAATGGTTAGAGGCAAGCCAAACTCGGCCTCCTTACGCTCCAGATTGGGGGTTGGAGTGAGGGTGGCTCCTTACTCCATACCACGGACTCTCCACAACCCAGTGTCAAAACCCCACTGCATTGCAGTCAGGCTTTTGAACCAAAAGTTTTGGTTCATAGCCCTAGTCGTTTTGTTGCCTAGGCCTAGACAACCTAACAGTATCCTGCCCAAGCAATACAACACAACGACTTCTCCTTCAAATAATCTCTTGATGCTCTGGCCGCCGCAGAGGATGATAGACGGCGCTCTGTCTGCTGCATCAAGCAGGGTGGAGAGGAGTTTGGATGCGACTGCTCAGGCATTACCGTTTTCTTTTTCTCCCTCTTGAGTTTTTCAATCTTAACGTCTCGTTACAACTTGTTTTCAATCCCCCAATACTTGGCCCTCACCATCTTCTAGTTTGGACTAACATGCAATCGCGGGGCGTCACTCCGGTCTACTCGACAAGTCCATGTTCCACCAAGCAGACAACGCTAGCTCATCCGTTTCTCTTTAGAATTCTCGATAAGTTTGGCGAGTTCACATAGTTGCGAATTAGCCAATAAGCAGTACTTGCCCGAACACTTGGGATCCGTCGATCGATATTTGCTGCTTGTAGGAAACAAGCCACGTGTCGCGCATGCCAGTACACTGACTCCACCGTCGTGCGTTGTTCGCGTGCTCGGTGTCTGCATGGAAACACAGAAGGGGGGGGGGTCAAGCGATGACTCGGTCAAGAGGAATGAAGTCCCTCACTTCGAACTTGGCGTAGGTTGGTGCCTCCCGATTGCCGGGCGAGGGTCCAAAGGACGGTAAACACGTGGGGTTCGATAGAATTGTGGATATGACAAAGAGCTGGCCCCAATAGCATTTGTGTTGCGAGGTCCTTTGTCCATCCCCATCCCCTTTAGATTTTCCCTCCAATTACGACCTCCTACAAAGTGCATAACATGAAATTATGCCATTATATCATTCGCATTTTTGAGCTTGGTAATCTAATCTTTGGCACATTATCATTTGTGCAATGATGTACAGGAGCTGAGATGCGTTACCCAAGCTAAACAAACGTGCAATGCCGCTGCTGATGATGATGACGACGAGGACGATGATGATGATCCGGGGGCCGCAAGAGGCTTTTCGACTCGAGAAGCTGCAGAAGGTTCATCTTCACGATCCTCTCGAGCGTCTTTGCCAAAACAGCGGTCAAGCAGATCGGCCGGTAGTTATCCACTTTGCTTGAGTCACCACCTTTCGGTATTGGCTTTACGACTGAGCATTTCCAGTCGCCCGGTAATAAATTATTGGATAGTGACCTGTTGAACAGCTCAGTTACGGAAGGCGAGATGATGGCCGATAGGGACTTGAGAATGAGTGGGTAGATTCCATCTGGCCCAGCAGGCTTCGTCCCGTCAAGATTTGCTAGAAGCTTGCGTACATCTTCAATACTGCAGTCTAGGCTGTCAAGTTCAGCGGGAGCGGTACTCGTCGAACTCGTTACAGACACCTGGTCACTTGCAAATACGGAGGCGAAGTGCGCCGCCAATGCGGACGCACGATCTGTACTCGAGGTTAGGGGCTGTCCATCTGAGCCCACAAACAATGGGACATTGGCTGCAGGCCTCAGGCGCCGCTTCACATATGCGAAGATTCTCTTGGGAGCAGTTTTTGCGGCGGTTGCAAGCTGCTCTTCGAAGCTTCTGCGTTTTTTGTTTTTGCGTTGTTGCAGCGATTTCGCTGTACCTTGTACGCCTTGTAGTCCTTATCAGAGCCAGATAACACGAATTTGTTCC